CTTGTAAAATTTACAGTGAAAAAACATTTTTACGTAAAAAAAAAATGTTTTTTTAATAATCAATTATGTACATTAGGGTTTTGTTACATTTAATGTTGTTAAATTAATGTTTATTGCATTTTTTTTATTTCATGTGTGTTACCATGATGGTGTTTAATGTTTGTGTGAATGACACTGGCCAGCTTTTTTATACAAGTATTAACCTACTAATGAAAGACTTGTGATGAGATTTAATTGCTCATGTAACTCATTTCTGCTGTGATGATTGTTGGTTGTCAGTGTATTACAATAGTACAAAGCAGATATCACTTTATCAAAAGGTTGGTAAATCAACATTTTATTAGAAAATGAATACAGTTTATTATTGTAAATTTTAAGTTAAAGGGGTAGTTCACTTTGAAATTAATTTTTGATATGTTTTAACTGTGGAGATCTAAACATATGTAGATATATAGGAAATCGCAATGGAAGACGATTTCGATATACTGTATATAAATATGTTTAGACCTTCACAGTGAACGGTAAAACTTCCGAAATCTCTTTGTAAACAATGAGTGACGTACACACGCAAGCGATTACTTCCGGCGGAACGTTGGACACGGTTCAGTTGGACATTGGATAACGGATTCAGATCAGTTGGACATGGCTGTGGTTACACGAGGTAAAAACGATATAAATACTGTTCGTTTCTTACACAAACCGCTCATTTCGTGTCTTAGGCCATCAATGTGTACTTACATTTACGAGTCATTAAATCATGTTTAATTTGGACTTCTCTGTGCATGCTCTTTGACGTGGACCCCCTAAACCTGCTTTATATGACTGATATAGACAACAACGGTTTGACCGAAAAAATGTAAAAATTGAAAATACCGTGGAAACAAAGACATCTACATCTTGGATGCCCTTGAGGTAAGCTAAAACATATCAAAAATTTATTTCAAAGTGAACTATCCCTTTAAGTCTGTAGAACCATTAACATTCCTACCGTTTTTTAACGGTAAAGTTCTGGCAACCACAGCTGCCGTTTTTTTACCGTAAAAATTCAGTTTTATTTTTTACAGTGTAAGGCAGTCAATGGGTAAATGAACTGTTTGATTACTGACATTATTTAAAATATCTTCTTTTGTGTTCAGCAGAAGAAAGTAATTCATATAGGGTTGGAACAACTGAGAAATGCTGCCCATTTTCATTTTTGAGTTAACTATCCCTTTAAGACTTCATTGTGAAACATGGCCAGTCCATAAGTATAGAGTTGATGATATCCAAAAAGCAAAGTAATTCCAGAGATGAAAAAAAATTATAACATGCCTTGATAAATCGTGCAAAATAAGACTAAGGTTTCATTTCAACGTAAGCCTTTTGTTCAACTACTCCTTGGAATGCAATGCATCACTGCAAAAGCCCATGTCACAACACTGAACACAGGAGGCAGTGCTGCATGACTGCGTAACAAGAGCAAGGTGGACCCTAGAGCAAGCTGGAGAAGAGACAACACTTTTTGTTTACCATCTCAGAGGCTTGGGAAAGAGCGCACAGACTCCCACTCATCAACAGAGAATTTTTACAAGCTCTTTTCCAGCTTTCTCTTGAACCCACAGGGTGACAATAGCTGGTTTGCGCAACTCCCATTTGGCAAGTTAGTTTAGCGTTTTAATGTGCTTCAGATAATGAGAATATTAACAAGAACGATCATCATGTCCTTGCCAGCAGCAGGATACTAAAGCACACATGATGTTGCGTTTTCAAATATACAAAATAAACACTCCATTCATGTTGGTATGTGCCAAAGCTTGCATTGCAATCAGTGAAAACAGTCAAATGTGAAAAAGCTTTGCACACAACACAAATATGATTTGGCAATTGGCGCCAGTGAAATTCCAGAAGCCTGTGTTGGCAACATCAGCAAGGCTGGGCTTTGGTTGGAAACTTAGTAGAGGAACTAGCTTCTAAATTAATGGTTCAAGAAATTAACTAATTTCAAATCAACTATTTTTCTCTGAATTTGTTCTTTCCATTGAAAGACCATGTGACAACAACAACTGAAAGGGGAAAAAAAACGAGCAATGGCGGCAGTCATTATGCAAGCTATAAAAGCAAAAATTGACACACTGAGAGTGAGACAGACAATCCACCGTGACAGCTTGCAAAACTGGATTTGATTAAATACATGGAAAACACAGATAAAACATAGAGGGCTCAACAATAAGGATGGCTCAGGCCAGTGCCACATTTATGTTGTGAATTCAGTCTGCGTGCACATACAGTCAGGGGTCATTCTTGCATTTAAAAAAGCGAGAAGAGGAGTGCAACCGTATACATGGGTCTCAAGCTTATCTCATGGGTCGAGCAGCTTATCTATAACTAGACATGCATTTTTAAAAATGCAATACTCATGGCTCAAGAAGCTGAAAAACAGGGTGATGCCAGGCAAAATAATCCATTGAATAACCAGTGTACATTGTTTTCTGATATCAATTTGTCTAAAAGAAAAAAATAAAAAAAAAAATGTGTGATAGCGTTTCCTGCAATTGTTATTTCTGTGTATAAATACATTATGTCACCACGCAGTTGCAAAAATAGACTGTTTTCAAAAAGGCTTTAAAAAAAAAAAAAAAACTCACCCCTGATGCCCAGTTTGACATTGGTTTTTTTGTCTATCAAGAGTTGCATTATATTAGTTGGGGTCAGTACATTTTTTTGTATGTTTCTTGAGCAGCAAACCAGCATATTAGAATGATTTCTGAAAGATCATGTGACACTGAAGACTGGAGTAATGATAACCTGTCATAACAGGAATAAATTACATTAAAAAATATATATATATTGTCAAATCAACTTAAATAATTTATTTAGTTCAAATAACTTATTATTTTGAGTTTCTGATGATTAAATCAATCTCCTTCATTGTATTAATTCACTTTTTCCAGTTCAATCAACTTAAAATTAAGGCAACCAGGTTACTTAATTTAAGTTAAAGAAACAATATTTTTTTACAGTGAGGGGGCATTAAAAAAAAAACTATTACCAACCCCAAACGTTTGAAGAGTAATGAGATGTTTTCAAAAATAAAAAACATCGTTCATAACTATTCTGACACTTTATTTAAAAATAAGCTATTAAAACAGCTAAATGTAATATTGGCCTTCATTTGGGCCAGTGAAACTGTCGTCAAGGCAAATAAAAATCTGAAACTAACAGGAAAAATCCTTATTGTTGAGACAGGAAGTGGTACGGTTATATAACGTATGGCTGTAACAAAATAAAAAAGGGACATATCCACAGCTGAGAAAACAAAAAAAGCCAAATCCAAGCTTGCACTGGCTTTAGAGTTAACAGTAAAGCATTAACACTCAAACAGACAGCCCAGTGTGATTTTAACACATTCCCTTTGTCTCCTACAAACACAATGGCACCTGACAGAGGCATAGGAATAATTCCCATCCCCAGCACTGGGAGGGTGAAACTGGAGGTTTCAATGGACGCAGCTCTCCTGCAGTAAGTGAGAGCTTGGGGCTATGCAGAACCTCTGCAGAACTTTCCCCTTCAGGTTATAAATCAGGCCTGAGGTCAACGGGACTCAGTAGCACAGCATCATAATGCTCCACACACTCTGGAAACACACACCTTGCCCAAAAATAACATTTTACCATGGCAATCATATGCTTGAGGAGCTATCAGATAAACACAATCAAGGATACAATGAGCCAAATGTGTAACGAAGAAAAAAGCAGTCATCACAGAAATACGATAGGGTCATAATATTGATCAGAAGGTAAAACGATTCTTTGATTTTCTCCAGTAATGCTGATCTTTGCATATCCATAAACATCACAGCAAGTCCTTGTGAACCACAGGCAGCTCCTTTCTCTATAAATGCATCAATTAGTACACAAAGAGATTTCATCATTTATTTCAGTGCATTATAGCCATTATTTCAGGCTTTGAAAATCGTTGTTTCATAATTTGTTATGGCAGCAGACTGAGCTCTTTTCTATTGGCACATGTAAAAGTGCAAAAAAAGGACAAGGGACGAGACGAGTTGTGATTAGGTTTAAAGCAACCAGACATGGACCATCCAGGAATGGTGTGAGAGCTTTTCCAGTTTAAGAGTTTATAACTTGGCTTCCTTTAACATATCACATGATTTGCATAATTTGCCTATGATGCAGGGTTCTCTGACAGATACGGACTTGTCTTTTAACATGGGAAGTGTTTTTTATCACCTAAAGCTTGTCATTGTAAGAGATGCTGTTCAGATCAAACATCTGAAAGCTATTCCTGATGAATATGTATAATGATGTGAATCATTTTAGTTATATAAAGGTCTGATCAAAAGACATTCTTAAGCCGATTGTTCAGCTTGATTCTTTGATATTTGACTCAAAGCAAACACAAACTCTTAAAAGGCCTCTTCTGATAAAGTGGGATATTCTCCAATGCAAGACTGCAGTTAGCATATCCATACTTTTATTAAAACATAATATTAAAAAATGAAAACAACCACTAACATTATAGGTTAATAGGATATTTGAAAGCCTTTTATCATAAACGCACATAAACGATAGCTATGGAGGACTTCAAAATGACATTATGACAGAATCAATGTGTTAGGTTTCAGTTTATCAATACAACAAGTTCCACAAATAAACATGGGAGATAAATACTAAAACGTAAAGACATTTAGCCTCATCTCCACAGCTCGTCTAAAGAAATACAATTAATCGTTTTACTTCCTCAAGCTTTTCCTCTTTAAGGAACAAAATGACAATTATTTAATATTACATTGGAATTAGTTTCTCTTTTGGCACCGAATTAGACTAAATAAACAAAATACGGACAATTTACACAGACTGTTATTATTAGACTAATGACTTTATAGGCTGGGCATTGGACGTCATTTGTAAACAAATGACAATAACAAGGCACATTTCAGAAGAGAAATAAGTGTAAACAAAGATAATTATGAAAATGAAGGTGAGATATTAGTGCGCACAAACCTCAATGTATCCGGCTAGACTCGGAACAGCGATGGCCAGAATGAGCACAGATAATACCGGGACTGAACCCATCTTCACGGTTAGTCTCTGCTGAGATTTGTGTTGAAATTATCCCGCGGTGGATATCTATAAGACGCCGTTAAAAAGGAAAACAGCTAAGCCAACGGTCCTCGAGTGGTTGTTGTGTGTGCGTCTCTCTCCTGTGTTTTCCCACTGTGCCGTTGAGCTCGCTCTCAGCGCGTGTGGAATGTCTCCGAGTGTCACTGCACGCGCTTGAGCTCGAGCTCGAGCTCGAAAACACGATCAAGCGCGCCACCGGGCGTCAGATGCTGGGACCTGCCGGAAATGAGGTCATCATGCTGTCATCTAATGAAGGAAACATGCTTGACAAAAAATTATTTTTTTATGACTTTGATTCCTACATTTCTTCAATAAGATTGTTAAAAAACGAAAAATCTGTGAAATATTTACAATGCTATGATTCACTCTTCAATACCCCTGGTGCAAGTAATACTCTTATTTGTTAAAATTGAATGTGAACTATGCTTTCTTATTTATTTATTTATGTATTTAGTTTTGTTTTGATTATTTATGTTCTGTTATTATTTGTGTTACCTTTCTGCAATAAAAAAAACATGCTTGACAATTTTTCTCTCTACATGGTTTAATAGGAATATAATTGGTATTCTCTCAATTTTTGATAAATCTGGTAATTTCTTATCTTATGAAGAATTTAACAGGAATATAATTGGTATTCTCTCTCAATGTTTGATAAATCTGGTAATTTCTTAACTTATGAAGAATTTGTCTGTTCATAATTTTCCTTTACTATTTAAAGAATATGCTTAAAGCAATTCCTTCTGGTCCAAGTCATCTTGTTAAATATCATCTAACCTTTAGTAAGAGTGTCACCACCAAAGAACCTGATTTGATCTTAGATGGTATAAATATACTTAGTAAGAAATGTAATAATAAACATGTTCGACATATTTTTCACAGTAAAAAATATAGGCCTACTGTTGCTAAAGGCAAATTTTATTGGGGCTCTTTTATTGAATGTATAGACGGTTAAGTATTGTATTTCAAATAAGATTAAGGAAGTTCATTTCAAGATCTTGCATAAAATATACCCAGTGAATGATACTGTTGCAAAATATATGGATGTTGACAGTTCTTGCTCATTTTGTGGGAATGAGGATGAAACGCTGATCCATTTATTTTTCCAATGTGAAAAAACCCAAAACTTCTGGAATAGGTTATATCTTCACATTGGCAAGCACTTTGATTCTTCCAAATCCTTTCAATTAAAGGATATGATTTGTTACTATAAAGAAGATAAAGCTAGTACTTCAATCAGTTACATTGTTAATTTTTTTTATTTTGTTTGGGAAAAATTTTATTCACAAGCAAAAATTCTCTATATCGCAGCCTACTTTTCCACATTTCTTAATCGAAATTCATACATTTCTGAAGTCTCTAAGATTAATTAAAAACAAGAAAAGTGACAGATTCTTGAAATATTATGATATTTTTAATACCACTGATGCATAAAGTTTCCTCTATGTATGTCTTTTATTTATTTTTTTTTAAATTGTATTTATTATTTTTATTATATATATATATATATATATATATATATATATATATATATATATATATGTGTGTGTGTGTGTGAAGCTTTAAATATACTTGATATAATTTGGTTCATGTCGAAGTTCTGAAGTTCTATGTGTTCTGTGCTTTATACCTGCTTGTTATTTGATACATATTCAATAAAAAAAATAAAACATGCCTGACAATAGCAAAGCGACATATTTAATCATTTTAATGATAGAAGAAAATTATTATTCCTTTTGGATACTCATTTATTGGGTACAACTGAATTACTATAAAATAATGTAGGCTAGATATTAATCATTCGCATTGTGCATTTTAAATCCGAACCCAGTTTGAAATATAAACGTACATAGAAATATCAGAAGTAATTTCCTTATAAATTAAACAGTGGATCCTGAAAGTGTTTGATGTTCTGCCCTATTGGTGAAAATCTGATATGGTTAAAAAATAATTATAATTATAAAAGGTCACAATATTTAGAATATAATAAAATTCTAGCATTTGCATGAAGCTCAATGGCAGATGGCTGTAAAGTCTTTAAGTTGCTCTTTTTATAGCAGTTCAGTCTCAGTGAAAGTAGGATATGTTTCAAATGCTGCCTACCATAATAAAATTAATAAGTTAATGGCAAGGCTTGCTCTATTTTGGACAGGTCGTCAAGTTTTTTATAGCTTCTTGTGCAGAGACACAAGAGCTTATTTTCAGTACTTTCTTCCTCTAGTGTTCTCTCTTTTCACCCACTGCTCATGTATTTGATTGCTTTTCACTGACTGCACATGGAAACCTAGATAATGTTGTTTAAACAGGTACCTGTAGTTAGAGGGTTACTTGTGAGCAGACAAAACAAAGGCCCATACAGTACTGATTACCAAAAGTGATGGTTTTAGAAATGCTGTTTTCATTTATAGGGTTTTTGGAGGCAACATAGTTATATTATTTTGGATGCATGGCAGTCTGACACCTACAGAACATTTTGTAACACTGTATTTTAGAGATTTTATTACATCAACAAATCCTGATAAATTTTGTTGCCATATCCACATGGTCATTTTTTGGGTGATGCTGAAGTGATCAATCACAAACCAAAGAGAGGCCTGATGGTACTGTATGTCCAGGTCTGATATTTCAACAAAAAACAGGAGTGTATTTACAAGTATCTGTTAGGATATTACTTTGGTTAAGATTGACATTTTTTAATAAACATAGAGCCATTTGATTCACACACAAAAAGTTCTTTGAAAAATATTTTTAGCAAATTTCATATTTTCTGAACAAGATCGGTTTAACATTCAGTAAATACAGGCACTCAAAAATCATATATATATATATTCAGTCATCAGTGAAGGCACTGTGCTTGCTTCTTTTCAGCTCAGTGAAAACATGTAAAACATATCCAAGCTCACATTTCAGCACAAAATCAAAACAAAAAAAAGGTGAAAAAAATATCTATATTATTATTTTATTTTATTTTTTCATTTAAATAATATTTTCTCCCTTTTTTTGCTTTATGGTCATGATAAATTGAATTGATAAAATAAATTGAGGGGGCAATCATCATAAGTATAATGCCACACTACAAAAAAAAACGTCTTAAAATGGTCTTAATTTTCTTTAAACATAACATAATTTTAACTACATTTTTCTAAAAATCTGATATGTTGTTCCTTTGATCTCTTTTCAAATCATCTGAATCTATGTAACTTAGTAAAGGCTGTGTCTTTTGAATATTTTGAGCATGATAAGTTCAACACAAGAAAGACTTTGGGTATCTAGGCCGGATGGTGCACAGTTTCTCTCTCTAAACTGAGATCGAGCCTTCCCTAAAGTTGGTCTTTCCGATCAGAACGTTTAGCAGAGTTGCCTTTCCCTCTCTGCACTCTTTTTGCGCCTTTTTAATGATGTCATCAAGCTGCGACTCATCCTCTCGGCCAATCAGGTAACCTTTTCCGCCGTAACCATCGGCTACAATGTGATAATCTGCAAGGAAGAGAAGAAATGGAACAGCATGTGACGCAACACATCACTATGACTGATCGATATACAATATATATACTTACTTTTATTACTGTACTGCCGATTTAAAACATTGACATGACGTGTAGTGAACAACAATTTAAAGATTGCGCCTCACCTGAAAAGGCAAGACCACAGGCCACGTTGCTCCCCAGCATAGGCACTTGTTCTCTGGAGATCTGACTCCAGCACGCATCATTTCCTACCAGAGCAATCACTGGGGTCTGACATGAGATGACAAGGTAGTCATTACAAGCTAATTGACAGGATACATTTTAACAGAATATATTCAAGTAACAACTAACAATATGTTTTTGAAACTTAGCAAATTTGCAATTAACACCTAGATTTAAAGGGATAGTTCCCCCAAAATGAGGGTACTGTCATCATTTACCCACCCCCATTAGCCCTTTCTAACAAATCTTATGATTTTTGCCACCCAACAAAAATTTGCGAGCTTCAAAAACTTGTTTAAGACATTGTAAACATAATCCATGTGAATCGATCAGTTTAATCCAACAATCACTTTATATGATGGACAGATTTAGGCTTTCATTCACATATAAACTTTGATCATGAGAGCTTCCACGTGATCAAATGAGGTGAGCTTCACTGATCAATGTTTATGCATGAATAAAAAAAATATTCATAATTAAATATCAACTAAATAAAATCTGCTATCATCATTATATAAAGTAATACGTCTTTTCAGAAGACTTAGATTAAACCGCTCGATTCACATGGGTTTATTTTAGGATCTCTTTATGAATGTTTTGAAGCATCAAACTTTGGATGGAATAGACTTTCAATGGCAGGACAGAAATCTCTTCATTAAAAATATCTTCTTTTGTTTTTCAAAGAGGATTTGGAACGGCATGACTGTATACTTTCGGGTGAACTTAGATTCTGATCTTGATGCTGTAAAAGTTATAATCAGTGTTTTAAGGGCTTGTTTGTTACCTTGTGGCGTGTGAAGGTATCAAATTCAGCCACGCTGTATCCGAGAGAACCATCGCCGTAAACGATCCATACCTGTAAACAAGATATTGGTTATGTTTACATGCACGATTATTATGGGACTGAACCTGCATTGTGATTCAACTGTACATCTGAGAAAAACACATTAAACAAGGAAAAAAAATGCTTTTAAGTTAACTTTAAGATCTCACCTCAGACTCAGGTCGACAAAGTTTTGCTCCCAACGCAAACCCTCCTCCAACACCCAGAGTCCCAAAAGCCCCTGGTGCAAAGACAAGCCACAAGTCATGAGGACACAAAGACTATGAGTGCATTTGTCAGGTTTGGAAAAAGAAAAAATAGAAGTGGAGAATATTATGGAATTAGATTTGTGCCAAAAAAGAGCTTTTCATGGAATTGACCCCCATGTCATCCAAGATGTCTATGTCTTTTTTTCTTCAGTCGAAAAGAAATTAAGGTGTTGGATGAAAACATTCCAGGATTTTCTCCATATAATGGACTTCAATGGGGTCCAAACGGGTCAAGGTCCAAATGAGAGTTTCAGTGTAAAGGGCTTTAAACGACACCAGACGATGAATAAGGGTCTTATCTAGCGAAACTCATTTAATAAATAAATAAATAAGTTTCAGTTTTATAAGCACAAATGCTCGCCTTGCTCTAAATGAACGAATCTTTTTTCGAGTCATTTCGTTCCTTGAATGAACCTAATGACTCGAAAAACATTCGTTAATTTTGATGAACAGGAGAGTCACGAACGAGCATCACAGAACAGAGCAAGGCGAGCATTTGTGCTTGTAAAACTGAAACTTTTTTATTTATTTTTTAAATGGCCGATCGTTTCGCCAGAGAAGACTCTGATTCATCATCTGGTGTCGTTTAAAGACCTTTAAAGCTGCACTGAAACTCTCATTTGGACTTTGAACCGTTTGGTTCCCAATGAAGTTCATTATATGGAGAAAATCCTGGAATGTTTTCATAAAAACCTTAATTTCTTTTCGACTGAAGAAAGAAAGACATGGACATCTTGGATGACATGGGGGTGAGTAACTTATCAGCAAATGTGTTTTTTAAAGTGAACTATTCCTTTAATGCAGTTTCTGCTTAAAAACAATTTAACTTTAACTCACCTACAAAGATGGTAAAAACTAGCACTAACTAGTTTTTAATTTAAGATTATTGTCTAGATAATTACAGATCTCGAAATCTCCTAGAAAAGGCGGTATCTTTACAACTAAGTTCCTTTTAAGAAAGATATGGTTGAAGCGTTAAAAAAAAGCTTGAGACAGGCTAAAGGGGTGGATTCATCTTCCATTCATATGCATACGAATGCTGAAGACGTTAACATAGGGATCTTCTGTGATCTGTGTCTAACCTGGGTCCAGCCAGCGGAGTGGGCCTCGTGGTCTCATGATATATGCAGCGCTTCCGACAAAATCACCCCCATCAGCCACGATGATGCTGTCCTCAGCCAAGAGCTCATCCACACGGTGCAAAACATTCAAAGGGTTCAAATGCCTCTCTGTCTTCTCATCTGCTTTCGCTCTGAGGACAAAACATCATTTAAGATATGTGGATAGATAGCATCAAACAAGCCAAAAATATATGGTCACACCTTTTAATTAAAAGGAAGGAATACTGCAAATTGTTTTTAAATGTTTAACAGGTGTGTACAGTATGTGGTGTTTGTCTATGTTGTGTAGGTCTGCCTCTTTTCCACCAAGCAATGCCAAGCAAAGTGGAGCCCGTCGTGGTGAACCACAGATTTGAAGAACGAGCGGTGACGTAATGTGTTGTTTATGAGCTGGAAACCACAGTTTCCACAGTCAATGAATCCAAGCACCAGTACAACGGCTGGAATAAGATCACCTGTTTGCTTTCTCTTTAACGTCATCTCCCTCTTTCAGTTTCTGAGGCCATTCTTCTGGACATCTGTGTCCCTTCAGGGCTTTCGACAGACGCAGGAGGAAGGAACCAGCATCGCCTGAATCGGTTGGGAGAGGAAACCTTGTTGCGTAACTCAAATATCAGTATATGTTATATATATATTTTAAGGTTGATTTTAGTGAATTGGTTCACTGATTAATTTAAGCCTCTACTTTCTATCAAAATAGAAATAGAAACTCAATAGAAATTTTTTATATAATGTAAATATATAAATGATGTGTCTAGTTTTATTAGTGGCATTTAATGTAAATGTGTTGATTGTTGATAAATGATCAATTTTTTTTTTTTTTTTTGTATTTTAATTAGGGCTGTCAAACGATTAATTGCAATAAATCGCATCCAAAATAAAATTTTGTGTTTACATAATATATGTGGGTGCACTGTGTATAATTATTTCATGTATATATATAAATACACACACATGCTTGTATATATTTAAGAAATATTTTCATGTATATACTGTATATATATATATTTATATGATATGTAAATATAAATATAAATATTTTATATATAAATAATATTATTTTATTAAATATACATGCATGTGTGTGTTTTTATATATATATATATATATATACAGTATTTATGAAAAATAATTATACACAGTGCACCCACATATATTATGTAAACACAAACTTTTATTTTGGATGCGATTAATCACGATTAATCGTTTGACAGCCCCGATTTTAATATATACACTAGCATTTAAAAGTTTGCCGTTAATATGATTTTTTTTTAAAGAAAGAAATTAATACTTTTATCCGTATTAAAAGTTGTCTATTTCTAAAAATGCAGTTCTTTAAAATTTTCTATTCATCAAAGAATCTTGTTAAAAATGTATTTACAGTTTGCCCCAAAATATTAAGCAATTTTCAACATTGATAATAATAAGAAAAATTTGCATCACAGGAATAAATTACAATTTAAATGGCAATAATGTTTCACAATATTGCTGTTTTTACCATATTTTATGATAAAATAAATGCAGCCTTAAAGTGTTAGTTCACCCAAAAATGAAAAGTAAGTCATTAATGCTTCACCCTCATGTCGTTCTAAGCCCGTAAGACCTCCTGATCTAACCCACTGATGTCACATGATGATGTCTTTATTTCCTTTCTGGACAAGGACAGTATACCGTACACATTTTAAATGGAGGGACAGAAATCTCTCGGACTAAACTTAAAATATCCTAAACTGGTCTTACGGGCTTGGAACGACATGAGGGTGAGTCATTAATGACATTATTTTAGTTTTTGGGTGAACTAACCCTTTAAGAGCATAAAAGACTTTCAAAAACATTACACAATCTTACCGACTCCAAACCTTTGAAAGGTAGTATATAATAAAATGTATTGTTCACCTTGAATGGCCACTGTTGGCTTCCAGAACATGTCTGAGTTCTTTAGCAGCTGACTCTTGTCTCTGTTGACCGCGATGATTTTGCTCCGTCTGTTCAGCACTCTTCCATAACTCAGTCTGAAATCACACACCGTACCTATCCACCAAAACGCACACATTCAGGATCAAGAACTATGCAAAACTCACTTTTTCACTTACCATCCATGATTTTACTTTTTAGAATTGAGCTATCTTTCCTAAGCCTGGAAAAGTTTAACACAATTTTAAATTTCACTATAAATATTCCCAGACTTTCCAAAAACGTGCAAAGAAATGAACACAGCACAAATTCTGCACATATTCCAACTGTACAGAAGCTGGCGCTGTTTCCCACCTGCCAGCAGCACGAGATCAGCATCTTTTAAGGCATCTCTCCTGTTCTGTCTAATGTGCAGTGGACTGTTCTTTCCCAGCATCCCTCGGGACATTCCGCCCAGGAAGCAGGGAATGCCTAAAGATTCTAAGGCATTTCTGTGAGACACATTGTGACAAAAAATGGACTGAGTTATCGACAAGAACGATTTATGGGTGTTTTGATCAATAATGTATATAATTTGCTGTTGTTTTGGACTTGTTCTTACAAACCAAATGCATTTTCTTAGATCAACGTATTCCATACACACTGTTCTAATCAAAAGCTTACTAAATTGAAGTTTCTTAGAATCTTATCTCGGCATGAAATGAAAACTCGTCCTAACATAAAACTTGTGGTTAAAAATGTATCCATGCACGTTTCAGTTTTTAAAGGGATTCTACGCAGTTTTTTTAGCTTATCTGAACAGCTTCAAAGTTATTGAAATGGTTATATGACTTCTTTCGGGTTGAATAGTGACCGTCTCATTAAAGGAGTAGTTCACTTTTAAAAACACTTTTGCTGATAACTTACTCACCCCCATGTCCTCCAAGATGTGCATGGAATTCTTTCTTCAGTCGAAAAGAAATTTGAATTAGAAAAAGGTTTTTGATGAAAACATTCTAGGATTTTTCTCCATATAATGGACTTTAATGGGAACCAAACGGTTCAAGGTCCAAAAGACAGTTTCAATACAGCTTCAAAGTGCTTTAAACGATATCAGATGTAAATGAACAAATCTTTTTCGAGTCATTTGGTTCATTCAACAAAAGAAATGAACGAAATGATTCGTTCATTTTGATGAACAAGTTCAAACAGGAGTCACGAACGCGCAACACAGAACAGAGCAAAGTGTGCATTTGTGCTTATAAAACTTAAACCTTTTTATTTATTTTTGAAATGAGCGATCGTTTCGCTTGATAAGACCGTTATTCATCGTCTGGTGTTGTTTAAAGCCCTTTGAAGCTGCACTGAAACTCTCATTTTGACCATGAACCATTTGGTTCCCATTGAAATCTATTATATGGAGAAAAATCCTTGAATGTTTTCATCAAAAACCTTAATTTCTTTTTGACTGAAGAAAGAAAGACATGAACATCTTGGATGACATGGGGGTGAGTAAATTATCAGCAAAAGTTTTTTTTTAAAGTGAACTACTCTTTTAAATACAAGTACAAGTACTCCACATCGACTCTAGGGGTCGCTGTTTGACAAAAACGGGATTCCTGCCTGGTGTCCCTTTAAACACATTTCTTTATTATTATATTTACATTTTATTTATAGTATTACCTTTTTAATTTAGGGTAGGGGTTGTGCTGAGACTGGTCAGAAGTTCAAACCCAGAAAGGCGGCCCCTGAACTGTTCAAAGAACACCCGAAGAGGAAGCTGAACTGTACCTGACATCATCTGCTGGTGTGGGGGGTAACGTTGCCTGACTGCCTAGCAGTATGACAGGTTTCTTGGCTCTGCTCACCAATTCCAAACACCTTTGGACCTGCGAAGAGTAAAGGGTCAGTCAAGGGCCATTCCAGTGCAAAGTCATCTTATCTTATGTATTTGGAGCAAAAGTCAACATTTCAACATTTCTCCTTCAGCTTTGTGGTGTAGTTCATGTTATGTGCTTTATTGAGACTTGATGAGGATAAAGACATTATCATATAATTGATCAGTTGCACCTACACAAATATGCCACAACCGTTTAGACGAGCTTTACCTCATCCTCTGTGGCTTGAGGGATGTGAACAGGAAGTGGGGACCGATCACGCGTCTCCCAAGCTCCAGCAAACAAGTTTGTTAAATGATTCTTGAGATACCTAAAAGATAACAAATACGGTAATAATAATAAAAAGGTTATCAAACACTTCTAAATGTGTTCCACTTATCATTTACTAACAAGATCAGGTGTGAGAATAATTGTACTGGAATACTGCTAAACGTTTGTACCATGCAATGATTTTTCCCATCAGCCCTTTGGGAGTGTTTTTCGGGGCAAACTCCTTTTCCACCACATGGTAAGGGTACAGTGTGTCTATGGGGAACTCTATAAACACTGGGCCTGTCAAAGAAATCAAAGAAATAGAATTACACACTCACAGAATTACAAACAGGGCTCATTTACATATAATGAAATCATTTAAGAATGGAATTCACTTTGATTTAAATAAAATTAGAGAACTGGATTCACCAATAGAATCGTTAGAGAAAATTGAATTCTGACATTAGAATAGAACTACACATTTAGGTAGCTATTTAGTTTTGAAACAATTCCAATGTCTTTGGAAACATCCTAAACTGTAAAATGATGTTAAAATGGCTTTACAGTTCGAATAATACAAGTTTTAAGTTTTATACAGTGGTAAACCTTACATTTCAGCCAATACACTACTGTTTAAAAAGACAAAAGATACAAGTCAAAATAATAAATGTATATATATGTATATATATTATTTTTTTTTTTTTTTAAATGCATTGGTCTAAACAAAAGTGGCCGGCGGGCTAAATGATATTGCAAAATACAGTAAGCGTCGTCAGTTATAAAAAAAGCAGAAATGCAGCCGTTTCCCTGGTTACCCCATACACAAAGCAGCGCTGCGCTGCGCTTATAAACTACTTTATAGGCACTAATTAACTTCTCTGAAGAGTCAGTTCCATTCAGCAAAACGAGACAAGATTACAGTGATGGGGGAATTTCAACGCCGTTGTACCTGGTGTGCCAGATTGTGCGGCGGCCAAGGCTTTTCTCACAGTGGGAACGATTTCTCTCACAGTCCTCACTGACGCACAGAACTTACAGAGAGGCTTGAAGAGGGACATTTGGTCAATATCCTGGAGCGCACCTCTACCCTGTAATGAAACGGTCACACATTATATTAAATTAATGACAAAGAATAAAGAGTATGATGCAATGGCTGGGTTTCAGTCATGTGATTATGATGACGTGAGGAAAGTCCGTACTGTACTACTTTACACGCTATTTCAAGAGAAAGATATAAGCAAAAAAATCTAACATATGTTGGACGTGACCCTTACGTTATGAACAGGAGCGATTTTTCAACTAAATTGAAATAGTTTCCTGCCAACGAGGGGGTAGATATCAGCAACTACCTCGTTTTATAGACATACTTTGACTTTACAAAGTTCGGAAATGTTACATGTTACACAAACATAGCCACTAGAGCCCGACCGATAAAGGATTTTGAAGGCCGATACCGACACAAGTATTTTGGGGTTTTAAAATCCAATATTCGATATATCGGCCGATATTTTTTTTTGTTAAATATTGTTGGATCTCACACACGTGTAAAAGAAAAGCTAACTTTTCTGCACAAGATACGTTTGATACTTTTTCTCTATGTCTAAATGTTCACTCCTCGCAAGTATAACTTACATTTTACAATGCAGGGACTGTAACTAGAGATATGCTAGTTATAAATACAGTAATCATTACTTTATTTAGGCAGAAAAAGTTCATTGTGGTTTCCAAGCTCATTAATGTTAACGTTAGCGGTCTTCCACTGATGATAGTGGCATTAGCTAGTCTATGATGAGCCATAATTTAGCAATAACATCATACTGCAAATTGTAAAACATACATTTTCAATGTAACAGGCCAAGGAGAGATGATTGAAGCATGTTTCATCCGTTTTTATTTTATTTTTTAAATATTCATTTATCGGCCATTATAACTGCCGATACCGATATTTTGGAAAATGCCTAATATCGGCCGATAATATCGGCCTGGCTCTAATAGCCACTTAAGTTGTATTAACTCACCTTTGACAAAGTGATCACTAACGTTACACACACATGGGCATTTTCCCGTTCGGCTCCTCCCGACCCCGTTTTTCGTTTTTTTGCTCAATTTCTTGCATTTTCCCCCTTATGAACAACAACTTTTGGTACACAATAAAAACTCCTCGTGGTTTGATCGATTCAAGTAACCATAAACGACGCAAAACACAGGCATTTTGAGTATGTTACGGTGCTTTCTAAATACAGCAAATCACTTCCTGCCCTCCATTTGTATTTCGCGCCATGGCAACGCAGTGGCGTGACATCATATGAAAGCAAGCTATTGACGCCCAACTTATATTTACAGGTGGAGCTAGGGAAGGTGGGGGGTTTCTGAAAGCACGCTGCAAACTACTACAGCGAACACTGACCAAGTATTTGAAAGTTTGAGCAACGAGCTCATTGGCTGCTGATGCAACAGGAACCAATCAGCTGTGTCCTGTAGAAAATTATGTGATTGCTATCATCCTGTGCCATCTAGAGTTATGACAGAACTTTGTATTTATCGTTATAGGTGTCAATATTGTTATCATTCTTGATGTGAACTGGCACACAGTATTTATGTCTGTGGCATCTGGGTTGTTCCATAAAATTGAAGTCAATGGTAATCAAACAGAGGACTTCAATCGTGCTCCTGGAGGGCCACTGTCCTGCAGAGTTTAGTTCCAAAAGCAATCCTATAGAGTTTGATGAGATGATTCAGGTGTGTTTGATTAGGGCTGCAACTAAACTCTGCAGGACCCGATTGAAGACCACTGTCATACAGATATGGACTGACATGAGGGTATGGAAATGATTTATGGGTGACTTTCCCTTTAACGATTTTTATAACCAAATCCTCGCTGTCATGGGTCAACGCTAGTTCCTTGAGAAGAATCATCCTTGAGTTGAGATAATAGAGTGCCGAAGTTACGACGTCACTCTGTGGGCCAAAACGCAGAAGTGAGTTAGCGTTTTAGCACTACCGGTTCCCTCGCTCTAAAGCCTATGGGATTTTTGAATGGGTTGTTGCTAAATCGCCTGAAATAAGGTCTGTGGTGAACAAAGCTTCTAAATATATTCACGTTTTTGATCTATGACATAAAACACACAGTTATAACCCGCTTATGGTTTTTTAAACTTTATTGTGTCTGATTGTGTTTTTTTAAATCTTTATATAGGCTTCAAAATGTGTAAATTTCGGATTAACTTGTAAATATTATCTTGCTAGACAAAATGTGTAAGGGTCACAACTCTTTGTTAAACACAGATCTTATTTTTTGCGATTTTCCAAAAGTCTATGGGAAAAATGCATTGCTTTTCGACCAAGCAAACCCATGCGCCGCTAGCTGCCAAGTTGTCCTACATCACTTCGGCACTCTATATCTAATGTTTAAACAAGACACAGAAAGAAGCATGAAGAAAAGATAACCAGAGCAAAAAGCAAATACGCAGGTGACACGCGCATGTACGTGACTCTTATCCTAGAAGGCACTTCCTGACCTGCAGGAGAGTAGCAGCAGCACCACCAATCAGAAGCAGCGGTGATTCAGCCATCTGAGCGTTCTTCACCGCGGTCACTGTGTTCGTCAGGCCCGGCCCCGCCGTCACCGCAGCCACACCGACAGTGCCTAAACAGCAAAACAAGAAGATTTTCAGCTTCTTTTACAGCTGTGATCTGTCCGCTTCTGTCTATGAGCAGTCTCACCAGAAAGTCTTGCTACGGCATCGGCGGCAAACACAGCTGTGGCCTCATGGCGGGTGTCGACGATGCGGATGCCCAGTTTCTCGCAGGCCACCAGGATGGGCGAGATGTGTCCTCCCACCAATGTGAAGACGAATTTGATCCCATGAGCCCGCAAAACTTCTGCCACGCTCTCTCCTCCATGTCGAGGGCTCTGTCTCTCTGTCTTAGAGTGATGAACAATAAAAGTAGTCAGTTCTTTTCTGAAAAGAAATTATATAACGGATTACCAGAATAGAAACTCGCAAAAATGTAGGGCGGACACTAGGTTCTGTGCAATGGTTGTTGATAGGATGTCGAGATGTGGGGGCGTTGCACTCAAAAATGAAGGAAGATGAACGCAAGCTTGCAGGGGTGGAGTTTAAACAGACTAAATAAAATAGGTCACCAGAGAGAAGTCTGTCATTTTCACTGGAAGATCCAGATATAATTGATTATACATTAAAAAGAAAAAGAAACATATGCCTAAATTCCCCATAAGATCTATAACATGCATAGAGAAGATCTCTCTACATGCTTAAAAGTAAAAGGTTATCATGATACATGGAAACATGGAAATAAAAGTTTCTATATAGTGGTAAAAGGTTCTTCAGGTTATTAAAATATTATTCACACTTAAAGGAGTAGTTCACTTTAAAAAAAAAAAAAACTTATGCTGATAATTTACTCACCCCCATGTCATCCAAGATGTCCATGTCTTTCTTTCTTCAGTCGAATAGAAATTAAGGTTTTTGATGAAAACATTCCAGCATTTTTCTCCATATAATGGACTTTATTGGTAACCAAACGGTTCAAAGTCCAAAAGACAGTTTCAGTGCAAACTGTTCAAAGGGCTTTAAACGATTGCAGACGATGAATATGGGTCTCATCAAGCGAATCGATCGCTCATTAAAAAAATAAATAACAAAGTTTAAGTTTTATAATCTCAAATGGTCACCTTGCTCTGTTCTATGATGCGCGTTCGTGACTCTCCTGTTCGAACTCGTTCATCAAAATGAACGAATCTTTTCCCATGTCAATTCGTTCATTTCGTTCGTTAAATAAACCAAATGACACGGAAAAAAAAAATTGTTCATTTTGCAAAAGATTTGCATTATATGGAGACAAATCCCGGAATGTTTTCATCAAAAACCTTAATTTTCTTTCGACTGAAGAAAGAATGACATGGATATCTTGGATAACATGGGGGTGAGTAAATTATCAGCAAAAGTATTTTTTTTTTATGTGAACTACTCCTTTAAGAACTGTTCACCTGAAAGGTTCGTTCACTCATAGATAGAAGATAGATAGATAGATAGATAGATAGATAGATAGATAGATAGATAGATAGATAGATAGATAGATAGATAGATAGATAGATAGATAGATAGATAGATAGATAGATAGATAGATAGTTCATACCTTATGGAATAGCTGGTAAAATAAGCCCAATTTATAAGATACTAGAATCACACCCCCAAGGGCAGCACTCAGAGAGCAGCCCAAAACCAAGGAAATGTCCATCGCTATAGTGGATTCGTTGGTGGTTTACGACCTAATGTCCACCTGCCAGTTAGAGACCTGCCCTGCAAAACAAATGAAAGAACAAGCCGCTTACAATGTCGTGCGCTACGAAATTGACTTTTACCGTGCAGTTACTGGACAAAGGGCAAGATTATGGTCATCAGATTCAGCACGCTGTCATGTCTGATCTTGGCAAGGCCTTGTTAAGGTTAAACAACACTGTACCTGCCAGCTCTTACTCCACTTCTTCGGCAGGTGTTGCTAAAGTCAATGAACGCAGTTGCACTGAATGGACCGAGTGAGAGAGAGAGGTACGCAATAGGCGGGACAACTGCTCCGCTGTTTGAGTAATTGTCTCTGCTTGGCCCATTCAGCGCTCTACGTTAATCCGTTTGAGAATAGCAGTCTGTGCCGTAACATGATTGACAGCGCAGTCATCCAATAGAAAGCTGAAACGTAACTCCGTCATTGTAGATCTGTACGACCACCAGGAAACTCGTGGCTGGTGTTGTTTTGTTTATTGTGTTTTGTTGTAATTAAGCAGGCATAACATGTATTTTGTAATTTATTTAAATTGATCACAATCAATGCAGGTGACACCGTAAGACATTGAAATGCCCTTTACTCTAAAAGTGTTTGAACAAAATAACTTCTGAACTTTGACAGGAGCATCACCTTTAGCCTATGTCCTGCAGGTTACACATTCGTACGTATCTGTAACTGTAATAATAAAACATAAAACAAAACGCTCTTCCAGAATCTTTTTTTATTTTTTTGTAAACTTCTGAAATGTCAGCAAAACTTCTACTTTTACCTTATCAATAAAAAGATATATTTGTTAGTCTGAAATGAGTTTATTATGGCATATTAAGTGTAGCATGTAATTGTGAATGTACTGTATGTTATGTGTATGATCAGTGAGCTAGTACACAAGAAATATTAAAGTTAGTAGTAATAATATAAAGTGCTTGTTTTATTACACTTTAGCAATTTGCATCTGTAGATTACAAGACATATCATTAAATGCTGTTTTCCTCACATCACTTACATATACCAAATGCTTTTGAAAGTTTTCACAGAGGGATTTGTTTATTTAACATTCGCTTAATTTATACTTTTTATTCCAAAATACATGGTGATTTATTGTTTTTAATTTTTGTTGACAGTATTTTCTGATGTATGGAGTGATAAAAAGAGACCAAAATCATCTTTGTAAAAACCTTAAACTCTAATATGGCAACAAAATGAAACAATAACTTTAGTTTAAACACCTGGTTTTATCCAATGTTTAGATTTCTGCTCAGGAAATGAATGCAAATTAGCACATAATTAAATAATACATCATTCACATATTTAAACATAACATTTCAGAAAACCTCCAATGCAAAACATTTTTTTCAATACACTCTGATAAAGCAAAAGGGGAGTGATGTACTATTACAAAATGTTCACCGTTTTGTCTTGCCTCAATATGTTCAGATCTGCTGTTTTGATGGAAGTTAGTCTGAGATACATTGTAAAACTGCAGGTGTGTTTCAAAGAAGGGTGCAAAACAGTTGTGTAGATACTTCGACTGTCTTGCTATATTCTGGATTTTCAGCAAAATTGATTGTTTCCGCAGCTTTGAGTTCCTCAAAAACAACAATCTGAAGATAGAAAAAGATTGACATGTATTACATTTCATAGATTTAAAGATTGTATTATTGCTGCATGCACATTTTCTAGAATCAGTTTATGGCTTCACAGTGATATTTGCCTACATATTTACACACACAGCCAGTCACCTCATTATCTCCACTCTTGAGCCAGGGACCGGGGAGATAGAGGGCTTTCTGAGGACCAACAGCCCAGTTGCGTCCAAGATTTTGCCCGTTCACAAAAACCACTCCTTTACTCCAATTCTGCCAACAGCACAGAACAACATAATTTGTGTTGTCTTCAATGTTCTAAGGCTGCGAAAAAACATGTCAGACAACGATAAAAGTGAAATGAAACTGTAGACTCACTGGCAGCTTCACAAAAGTATCTGTGGGCTGATCCACTACTAGGGTTCCCCTGAAAAACGCAGGGTAGGTGGGCTTCTGACCGACTGGCATCCATTTCAGTGACTGCAGTCTAATAAAAATTGAGAGATTCAGTTTCGACGTATGAATAATGTCTGTGTATGTAAGCCCTGTGTTTTTTCTCATTCTTTGCAAAGTCTTACTAATGTCTCACTGCATTTCTGAGCACTCTCTCTTGTTTCCCTTGTCATGAGCCGCGTTTTCTCCGAAATTGCCCTAAACAATTTGTCCTAGGAACTTTTTTCCCAATAATTGACACTAGCAAGACTTTGCAAAGAGTGAGAGAAAACACAGGGCTTATTGGTTAATGACAGACTGGTGGATGTAATCACACAATAATGAGTCCAGGCAAAGGTTTATGGGAAATGTAGTTCATGATGGAGTGGCCTCCGGCTGGCAGACGTGACGGTTATTTAGCCTGATCATTTCTTATTCATAATTAGAAAATATCAAGCTAAAGGCTCCTCAAATTTTTGTAAGAAAGCATTTGTCTACTCAAGACTATAGTAAGACAACTGTCAAGTTGTAGGCAAAGAAGGATCAAAATAAATGATGACCTTCATTTCAGATGTAGCAATTATATCTTCAGGAAGGACCTATATGGTTAGAGATGGTACCAGTTTTTCTTATGCCATGTTAAACTTACCAATTTTAGTATTAGACTATTATGGAAGCTATATTATTATTATGGAAACTATTATGTGTGCGCAATGGAATAAAAATGTAAAAAATTTGACTTTTTAAAGGTGCCATCTGGCACATAAAATCAAATCATATTCCATATTCCATAACAGAAGGGGGCAGTATACCTCCAGAAAGTGAGTTGTGCTGCGTTGTTGACGCCTGTCTCAAAAACAAGCTGGTGCATTTCAACGATATGGGAAAATAAAAGCCTGGGCTATTATTTTATGTGTTCATATTACACTTAGTTTGAATTAATTTGACAGACAGCATTCGCTAGCGCCATTCAGAGCTGCCAACTCTCACGAATTCACCATGAGACGCACGCAATTGACACTTAGCAAGCAGGTTAGTTAAGCTCTCAGATTCTGTCAATATTATTACGCAATTCAAAGAATAAATACCGTTTTGGCGCTTGTACATGTTACACCACAGATCCCTAGCGCACGTGAACCGATCATCTCTACTAGCTAATGGAAAAACAACATGAACACTGTTGAAAGATACCGTATGCTACAACTTACCAAAATGTATTCCTCATGCATATTGTCGACCAATCATTTTTTTTTAACTCTTCCCTGAACTGAAATGTAGTAGTGGGCTGTATTTCCACACGACTGACATCAGGTTCAAGTACACACACAAGCCTCGCGAGTTATTCGCCCGTTGCACGCCCGCATACCGCCTCCCATGGCCGAAATTGGTATTACGACACCTGCCGGGCCGGGGCTAGTAATTTAGCATGCAAATTTAGGTTTATATCTCGGCAGCACTATAACTTGTCCGTTTTTTTAATGACATCATTGCACTTATGATGCGTGTAGCTCATTTTTTGGATATTTTTACCTCAATTATTACATATGGCACCTTTAACGTAATTCCCGAGTTAGTAATGGACATTTTTTACCTCAGAATTATGAAATAAAAAGTTTTTTTTTTTTTATCACGTGGCAGAAACAACGATCCATACACTTAAGACACAATATAGAAGCAAATACTCAGAATTAACCTGTTTATGAAACTGGTTTTCATATCCAAACAGTACATGGAGAACTTTTTTAGTGGAACATCGTTCAGAGTTATATCTCCAATAAGCCCTGTATGGATGAAAACAATAATGAATGGCATGTTATGGTCACTACACCCCTTATCATATCTATTACAGTACTGTGTGACTTACAACTATACAATGTCAATATTTGTATTTTATGTTTTTAATCAATCTTATCACACCTTTGTGCTGGTTGTCCAGGGCTGGACCATAGTTCACTCGCCCACAGTTCTCAACAAGCAAACTCAAAGTCCTCTCACTCTGCAAAAATGTAATTAGTGCAAGATTAATACATTCAGGAAAAAGATTGATATAAGTCAAGGAAGGAAAATGAGGCATCATATTTACCTTACTGTGAGATATTTTCACTTTCTGAGTTCTATAGTCCAAAGCACCAATCAGTTCTCTGTCAATAAACACCTTCAAAATAGATTAGAATTAATTCAAATTCAACTCTCTCTCTCTGATTTTGATTGAAGGCCAAAATAGATGAGAAAAGATCTTACCAGAGCTCTGTCATGAACATGGTTCCTTGAGTTGAGTTCTCCACCTGAATAAATGTCAGTCTGATAGAGTGTGTACCCATAGGACTGACCATTGTTGTGGTTTGCTGGAAGGCTCTCCATGCTGACAGGATCATCAGCTCGGAAGTGCTATTGGACAAATAGTGTTTAGTCATTTTTGGGAACATTCCTTGCCAAATATGTTCTCCTCTTTCTATTTTTTTCCTACAACATGAAACAGCATATGCAAAAACACATTTCCTAGTGGAACAGTATATATAATGGTGGGCCTAAAACAATGTAAACTGGGTCAGTTTTGATGAAATGGAAGCTCAACTGCTCAAATGCGCTAGCCTGACTTCGTCATACTCCTTTTCTAATAATGAATGAACCAAAAAATGTTGTGGGCGGAGTTCGGGCTGCCATCCAGGCTACAAATGCGCATGCTTGATGTGCAAAAACCAATGAGGTTTGTGCTCACGTACCAAGTAAGTATAGTACATTGATCAATGTTTATGTGAATCTGTTTATAATATAAAGTTTCTCTTCAAAAGACTTGGTTCTTCTTAACTCAACAAAAAAAAAAAGAACTAGGAAGGTTGTGCATAATATATTTATATTTAGCTTACTTATAATAAATGCGTTTTTTTGACTTAAAATGTTTTTTTTTTCTATTAAGGTCTATTTATGTCTCAATTTAACGGTACAAAATCCTAACGCGTTGTCTAAACACAAACCATTTATGTTCTGTAAAAAATTCTTACATCCAGAGGGTGGCAGTATAGTGCGAGCCAACTGCCATCTTGCCCGAACTTAATTTGATTGTGTTCAATCTGCTTAAATATATGTACAATTTAAGTTTACTTAATCTGTCTGTGTTGGATTACATGATTGATTTGTCTTGCATTAACTGAAACTGGGCGGTGCTTCTTAGTTCCCAGCATGCTTTGCAAATGGTTGAATTAAGAGAGAATAAATGTTAAAAATAAGTGTTATTTTATGTTTGTTTGTATTTTTGAGATAGTGTGTAATTGTG